TCTCTTTCTCTCTCGTCTCTCTTTCTCTCTCGTCTCTCTTTCTCTCTCGTCTCTCTTTCTCTCTCGTCTCTCTTTCTCTCTCGTCTCTCTTTCTCTCTCTCTCTCTCTCTCTCTCGTCTCTCTCTCGTCCCTGTCTCTTTGTATCTGCCTCTCTTCTGCCCCCCCCCCCCCTTGTCTGGTCCGTCCTGCTGTTGCTGCTCTTTTCCCGCCCCGGAGTTATGGGGCTTCGATGAATATGCACGCGGCGGTGCTCTTCAGGAGGCCGTGACTGGTCTTAAACAGCAGCCGGCGGCGCGGGGGCTAATGATGGGGGTGTTGTGCTGGCGTTTATTGTGTGTGTGTGTGCGCGCGTGTGTGTGGTATGGGAGTGGCAGTGTCGCTCGGGATGAAGGATGTGAATACCGGAACGGAATTGCGATTGTTTCGAGCGCGTTGAGAGAGCGTTGTGTGCGTGCGTGTGTGTGTCGGGGGCGAGCGCGTCAGGGGTACGGCGGGGCGGTCTTATTGTTCATCGTCTGCCGTGACGCCCCCATTCCTTTCCACCCCACTCTCCTTCTCCTCCCGTGGCTCCTTTTCCAATTTCCCCAGTCGCCCGCAATCATCGCTCAGCAGAGTTGGTTTTAGGTTCGGAGTCGGTTCGCCCCGCCGCCGCCCGTCTCTGTGCTGTGCGCGATGAGACCCCCGCTTTTAATTCTGCGGCCGAATTCTCCGAATCATTGCCTTTCTTTCGTTTGGTCGAAATCCAAGTCATCTGGCGCCTGCTTTGCCTCCCCCCACCACTGCCCCCTTCCCTCCCCCTCCGAGCGGCGCACTGTGCGGTCGCTTAGAGCAGCGCGCTAAGCTCGTTTCAACTTTTCTTCTTTATTGCCTTTTCGCGCTGGACCTCCCGCGCCCCTTTTCCCTCGGCACTCCACCGCCGCCCGGCCCCGCTGTTTCCATTTGAAAAATTGCATTTTCTGTTTGATTGGCGGTAAAGTGAATAAGGCCTGTCCATTCGCTCGCTCGGGTGGGTCAGGCGAGCTCTCCCCAAGGGAGCGGCATATACCCTGGGGCTCCTTTTTTTATTTACTTTTTAATCGGCTGGCTGGTCGTTGGGTCCTTATGCCGTGTGCACCGTGTTAGGCGGCGAGCCTGTTAGCTCGCCAGAGACGGCTTTTCTGCTCTAATCCTCGTCAGTAACAGTTGTTCTGCTCTGTTCGCTCGTCAGTGGCGGCTGTTCTGCTCTATTCGCTCGTCAGTGACAGTTTTTCTTCTCTGTTGCAGGCAAGCCGGAGTCTGGTTCTGGCCGGTCGCAGCCGCTGCTCGCGGCTCCCCGGTATGGCGCCGGGCCCCAGCCTTACGGCGAGTCACGTGAGTTTTGCTTATTATATTCCTCTTTCTTTTCTTTCATCATTGGCAATTAAGAAATATTCCTGCTCCGAAAAAGGGGTTATAGCGGGCCGCTGAGCACCACCGTGGCGGAAACAACTGGAGCGTGACTTTTCCTCGTTCCTTTACATTTCTTCGTTTGAGGAGAGCGAGGGTGGCCTTTCTTGTCGAGTCCCGTCATCTCGCGTCAGACAGTGGGGAGGAGGGAGAGGTGGATACGACAACAGGGGAAAGGGTGAATTTCTTATCGGGCTTCCTGCTGTATTAATTAGGGAGGTCTGCCTGGCGCCTCCTGGCCTGCGGGCACGACTACACTCTCAAAAATAGAAACAGTAAAAAGAATGTTTCGGAGGTTCCGTATTTCTGACTGCGGCACCGTATACCTCTGCAGTTTTCTAAATTTTTACTTTAAAATTTCTCCGTTTCATTTTGTTTCTTTTTGGTTTTTTTGTTTTTGATGTATCTGGTTCGATGCTCGGTGATTGGGATATGTTTTCTCAGTTACTTATATTGACAGGTTCCGGCTGCCATAGTGCGTTCCAAACTACTGTTAATTTCTTTTTACGGTGCAGAGGGTGGGGGTGAGATGATGGGTCTAGAGAGGCGTCCTGGTTCGCGTGCGGCGTAAGGACGGGTGCCGCTCTTGGCTGGCTGTTGCATTTCCAGATGGTAACTTCATCCTTCCTTCCTCTTCTCCTCGGGCCCGGCCCCGCCCTGTCTTTATCTCCTCTGCCCAGCCGAGAGTTTTCTCGCCTTTTGTCTCCTTGTCGATTGGGGGCGACTGCGGCCCGGCTGGGGAGCAAAGTTTGTCTGATTGAGCTGCCCTCTCTCCATTGTGCCTCTCTCACCCCCCCCCCCCCCTTCTCAATATCATCGCGACTCGGATTTATGCCCGCGTTTTGTATTAGCCCCCCGTCTTATCCTATTTCTGATTGGATTGGAGGAGGCACGAGGATCCGAAGTGAGGTGTGGGGGGGGGGGGGCGTTTGGTCGATGTTATCGGGGAAGGCGCCGGACGGATTGCGCTGCGGTAGGCAATTTCGTGCGTGGTGCGGAAATTGTACGACACGCCCCGTGGTATTGGGGCGGGCGCGTCTGATACTTTGATCCGCTTTGAAACAAGGGCCCGGCCGCTTTCGGCAATTATGCCCGGGAAGGAAGGGGGTAACTTGGTAAGTTGAGAGGCTCAGCAGCATGGCAACGTGCTCCTGCCCCCCCCCCCCCCTCCTAACCCCTCCTAGGGGCTCGCATAGCGCAGCTCAGGGGGCTGTCTCGATTGCTCGTGTGAACTAACAAGCCCCCCCTCTTGAGCGTTTGGGTGGTCAGGCGAGGCAGTAGTGCGGTGCGGATTGGAAAGGGCTGGTGGGGTGGAGGGGGAAGGGGAAGGGCTGTCAAAGTGAGTGAAGCCGTTCTTCTGTGCCGTCTGGCGAGCGACGGTAGCGGCGGGCTAACAGCACGAGACGGGCGCGGGCCGGGGTGGGCCGGGGTGGTGGCCGGGCCGAAAGGGTACGGTTACCCCCGGGGTACCCTGCCTGCCTGCCGGCCGCGAGTTTTACCTCCCCGGCCAGCCGAGCTGGTATGACAAAGGAGGTTTCGGCAGAGAGAGGGGGAGGGTTTGGGGTGGGAGGGTCCATCTTATGGCCGGCGGGGATAAGGACCCTCCTGCTCCTCCGGGAGTCTGGAAGGGTTGGGGTGCGGCGAGCAGGTGCTCAGATTGCGGACGGGCTGCTGGTACTTAGTGAGGAGGGGTTTCTGCTGCTGATGCTGCTGCTGCACGGCGGCGAGAGCTTCTCGGCGGTGGTTATTATGCTTCTTCTGGGACTGTACCCTTGGTATCCCTCACCTTCACCGGCGCTATTTCTGCCCACGTCCTGCCCCTGCCGGGCCGGTCCCTCCCCCTCCCCTTTCCCCTCTCCTGGTCCGCCTGGCCCGCCCCTCCTCTTCCTTGCCGTCAAAGTCCCATTGTCTTTCTTGGCCGACTGTGTCCGGAAAAAGGACGCCTGTTCCCTTCCCTTCCCTCCCTTTCCCCGTCTTGTTCGCCCCTCACACCTCTCTCTCTGGTAAGGGAAGCTTGGAGGGGTTGGCGGTGCGGGGACCCTGCAAAAAGCCCTTGGCCGCTCTCTTGTGCGCCGCGCGCCTGGCACCCGTTTTACTGTCCAAAGTGTCAAATCCTCGGCTCGGCCAACTAAGAAAGCTGTTCGCACGAGCGCGATCTAGCGGGGGGCGAGCGCCGGCGGGCTACGTGAGAATGCGAGTTTTACGACGCGGGGAAGTGTGCGTCCCCCCCCCCCCACACACACACACACACCCGGTGCTCATAGGCCCCGCTGCTCCTGGGCGCGATGGTTATGACGCGGGGCGTAAGCCGGGGGCCACGACTACTGTGCGTTAGAGCCAGCCCCCCCCCCTCCCTCCTCCCCCGGCAAGCGTTGTGTGAGGGGGAGGCACCCGTCCTCGTGGGTGGGTGGGTGTGGGTGGCGGGGTCGTGTTGGGGACATGTGTAAGCACCTGAATGACGTGTTTGTGTAAACATTTTGGTGTCATGCCTCCGCGGGCTGGGCGGGTGGGGGCGGCGACGTTTAGAGACGCTTTGTGGGGCCGGCGGTAGGGGCGGGGGTAGGGCGGGGCGGGGCCCATCGAGCCCAGGTAATTAGCTAGCGCCGGGGCACCATCCATCGTCCTCGCGAGGCGCCCCTTCGCTCGCCCTCTCCTTCTCTATTTATCTCGCTCAGACTCCCCCTTGCTCTCTCGACCTCTCCCTTCCCTGCCTTTCCCTCTCTTCCCTGCCTGTCCTTTTTCTCACGGCTCGGTTGGACAAACGTGGCGGATGCCGTGACATTGGTGGCTGCTCGGGGGGCGGTTCGAATCCAACCCGCTTCTCTCCAACAGCCCTCCTGTCGCTGAAACGGCGTAACAAATTGTGTTCGTGTGTGTTAGCAGGTGGTTCTGGCGGCGGCGGTGGCGCCCCCAACAACATGAGAGGGGGCCACTTCAACCAAGGAGGCGGTGGCGGCGGTGGTGGCGGCGGCATGGCCGACAGATTTGATGACGGGGGCTTCCAGAATGGCCCCGGACACATGGGCGGCGGTGGTGGTGGCGGCGGCGGCGGTGGCGGATTCGGAGGCGATCCCTACCCCGAGAGGTTCCCGCCCAGCATGGACAGGTAGGTGACGTTTCTCGCAATTTTCACTTACATTAATACCATCCATTTTAGATAGTCGTTGCTGTTAAGTTTGATACATAAAGCTTAGCTGAAGTAGCGAGCATTATATAAACTCGGGCATAATTGGCAGTCGAAGAATGGATAGGCTGGTAACATAGATTTAGCATTTAATTTTTTACTTTTTTTAGTTAAAAGAAAAAGCATTCATTTCATTTAAATTACTTTTGGATTGTTTATTTCTTTATGGACTGTTCAAGTGTTTTTCATAATTTTTTGTGCCAAATACTGGGCTGTAGTGATTATTTTGTCACTTCAGAAAAGAGAGAAATTCAACAGATTGCTTCTTAAGCCATGCCATAAAGGCTGTAACATCAAAGATAAATTTAGAATTATGTAATGAAAGCACATGCACTGTAAATCTAGGGTATCCATGAGCTGTGCGACTTAAGCTACACCATGACCCTAGAACCCAGGTGACTTAGTCGCTTAGCTGCTGGACACCTTTGCATTGACATTTCACAAGTACGGTGAAGAGCTGTACAGTCTACCATGAGACACAGGTGTCCTCCAACAGGACACCGTACCTCCGTACCTCCGTACCTTGCTTGGGCCTGGTGCTCTGCTTTGAGCGTAGTAACATGTACAGGACAAGGGTCTCACCACAAGGTGTGGGTCATGCAACTTAAGTTGCACTTTGCTGGACACCCATTAATTACTGTGTACTCATTCATTTATTGCGCTGAGCTTTTGTTTTTTATGCTTTCCATTCTACTCACATTTGGTAAAAATCGATTGAATCCATTATCTAAAATCTATGATAATTTTATTGCAACTCTAGAGTGACAATGTTTCAACACATATATCATTGCATATTTGCAGCCACCTGTATTCCCTGCACGATGAATGCCATTAGCTTGGTTTTGTTTAATCACTTTTTAATGTGTGTGCGCTTGTGTGTTTTGTGTGCTTTTTACCAATGCTACGCTTTTGTTTTGTCCCTTTCTCTAACCATTCAAGGGATGAAAAGCCTCGTTTTCCATCTGATGGTGGTTCACGCAGGTTTGGCGGGCGAGGAGAATCACTTTACCCACAAAGAGGTCCTGGAGGCCCTGGAGGCAACACAGTTCATGGCGGCGGTCTCATGCCTCCCTCCACATCACCACAGCACTCATCAGTACTCATGGCTTACAACTTGCCAATGGGCAAAATAAACTGCGATAAACTGTTTAATCTTCTGTGCCTTTATGGCAATGTCTCAAAAGTAAGTTTTTCAAATGCTGTTTAAAAAAAATAATGTTCGTACTTTAGTTTTATAAAACCTAATCAATTTTAAAATTTTATCTCTTATCAGGTTAAATTTTTGAAGACTAAAGAAGGCTGCGCTATGGTAATGATGGGAGATGCACTGGCAGTTGAACGCACTATTACAAATCTCAATGGCACACCTCTGAAAGAAGGAGGAAAATTAGAGCTTGGTTATTCAAAGCAGGCATTCCTTGCTGATGTACCAAACCCATACAACCTTCCTGACAACAGCCCATCATTCAAAGACTTTTCTGGTTCCAAAAATAACAGGTTCATGAACCCAGCCATGGCTAGTAAGAATCGCATTCAGACTCCATCTAGGGTGAGTATTCGGACAAATGTAGGTAGCTTTTCACAAATTATCCACAATGAATATAAAATTTACATTGATATCTATGTTCCAGATTCTTCATTTCTTTAATACTCCACCAAATGCAACAGAAGAACAATTTTACCAAGTATTTGAGGACTGTGGTGTATCCAGACCAAAAAGCATAAAAATTTTCCAAGGAAAATGTAATAAATTTATACAAAAATCTGAATGTTACGGGGTTTCCATTGCTTGTGTAATCATTTTATTTTTCCTCTTCACAGCTGAAAGGAGCTCAGCAGGTCTCTTGGAATTTGACGATGTTAATGATGCAGTTGATGTTCTTATGAATTGTAATCATCACCCAATTGACAACCCTGGTAAGAATTTTGTGTTTTAAATAAACGGATGCACGGAGCACAATCTGCCCATTTTGGTTGTACTTTGTATTGTTTGTGTTCACTTGGAATGAGTGAATGAATGCGGTATTAGATCACTATGACATGATGGGCTCTGTTTTTCAGGCGGCAAGTTCCCCTACAATATGAAGCTCTGCTTCTCATCAGCGCGGTCGATGCGCGAGCCAAGAGAACGAGATGGCCGAGAAGGTCGCGAGGGCAGGGACGGCCGAGACGGGCGCGATGGCCGTGACGGAAGGGACGGCCACGACCGGGACGGCAAGGACGACGACTAGACCATAGCAGTACCTTGAAGTAAGCAGGACGAAAGCTGAATCGCTCGCTAACTAATTTATCTCGTCTCGATTTGATTGGACTGGGGAACGACCCCATATTAGCTTGCTGGGGGACCAAATGAAAAAGGAAGGGAAGAAATCTGCTGCGCAGCACTGGTGAATGTTAGACGAGGTGAATGAACGTATGACTGACTGAATGAGTCTGGCTGTGTGAGTGAGTATATGTGTGTGTGAGTGTGAAATCTGGAGTGAGTGCTGGCATATAAAATAGGTAGGGTAATGCATGTCCACAGCCAGTTTGTCCCTCTTTGAGTGCTGGTATGATGGACTAAATTATCTGCATTTCAAAAAGTTAATGGTGCGATAATATTTATTTAATGACATGATTTGTAAGTGTGGTAGAATGGATAGTTCTACCACGCCTGGTCTCTAGGTTGTGAGATGATATAGGTTTCCAGTCTTTATTTTATGCCAACCAAGGAGGTGAAACTCGTCATTTTATTTTAAATCTACATCGATATTCTTTGAAATCAAATAGGTATTGTTTTCTAGTGGACAAATTCTTATTCTTGAAATGCACAAAGTAGGCCAATTTTGGCACATCAGTTACTTGAAGAGCAAATTTGTTTACTTTTTTCTTATTATTGACTTTTTATTTTGAGTACTGTAATGTGTTTTGACATGCTTTTTGTTCATCATTTCATTTCTTATTTCTTTTTTTAATTTCATAAGTTATTTAGATTAAATGCCTATGGCATTTCTATAGTTTTTATCTTTGCGTTTTAGTGCTGTGTATGTGACGCCACGAGGCAGCCCTGATTTGTTTGGATTCCATTACTGTGCTAGTTGTTAGTTTTTCCCAATTATTAAATGTGCCCTGTGACATGCATAACATTGATTTTGCTCATATGAGCTGTCTGCAACAAAAATAGGCAGATGAGATTTAGGGTATTATATACTAACTGCATCATATGTGCACAAAGTGATACTGTACATTTTCCATCAACTTTGACTTGTCGTGTGATGAGGGAAAGTTGAACATGAGTGGTGAGGAATGCTAATGAAGCCTTTTACAATAATGAAATAATTGTGAAAGAAGAGGAGACAGCCAATTGCTCGTATGCCTTCCACTTAATGTCCCACTAAGTTATTATCCAAAAGTTCATATAATCTTCTATATCATTGTTGGAAAGAAGATAATCATTTATTTTTCTTAAACTAATTGGAAATGCGATCAGATAATAATATTCTGGAAGCACAAAGTTCTAGATTTTTGGTTGTTGATTAAGTCTTTTTTTGACTTGATCCTTTGTCAATTAATAAAGCCTCTTAAGGACAAGGCAGTCCATTAGGCAAATTTCTATAAATTTAAGTTTTTCGTAACATATCGAGGATGTGCTTGTATGTTGAAATTATCTTTGAATACTATTTCTGATAGTATTAGTAATGTTATTTTAATCGTGGCTCTAAGCGTTCTGGCGCTGGTGTTGTCAATCGTACAAGTAAGCAGTTGTGAGCCAATCAGCAGCGTGGTGATGTGGGCTCCATGCTGCCTGCTACCTTGTTAAACAAAATGTCAATTCGAACGGGCCAAATTAGTAGGTTAAGTTTTGGGAAAAATCCCGACCCATACACCTCTTCTGTACCTGAATGGTGTGTACGAACTGTCTGAACCTTCCATTGTAAACCAGGGCAAGTTGCTCCATACTTGAAATATGTCCAAAAAATAATAAATACTATTACTAAAATGCTAATTTAATGTATGCATCCCTGTCCTTTCGTACATTGGACATTAAAAGTAACAACAGCACACTCGTGGCAACTTAAATGACAGTTTGTTCTTAACACCTTCCTTAACTGCTAGTCTTATTTACTGGTGAATCTTTTACTCACAGTATACGTGTGCAACATACAGGCAGGACAGTTCCAACATCTTTTAAGTAACTTAAGGAGTAGGGCATGTGCCTTAATAAGGTTTACAAAACTATCAACAATTTTCTCCACTGTCATCTCCATTGTTATCTCAGACAGTAAATGTATACAACAGTGTTACAGCTTGTCAAGATCACTTCACTGCCTTTCTTGTAACATGTTTGTAGTTCTTTCAGGCATATGTGGTTTGAAGACATCAGGACTTGTAAGCATTTTGGTCTACAGCAGCTGAAGTGTTCTTGACGAGGAGCGTGAGGTGTCAGTTTTCATGTAACATTTAACAATGTGCAGACGGACACACAAGTTTTCCTTTACCCTTAGAAGTACAAAACCACGTAACACACACAGCCATTTATTCATGTTATATTATCTGAGGAAAACTTATGAATCTGACTGTACCATTCCAGTATGTGCCTTGTTGAAACAGAGACCACTGTGTATGCTGAATGGGTACTACGTTGAAAGGAATTAAACTGCTGTGTTGTATTTTGATTACTTAAATATGTCAGCTCCTTTTAAATTCAATAGTAAATTTTATCTGTTTTCAATTTTCTTTAGCTTGCAACTGATTACAATTGAAGTACACCACAGCTGTGAGATTCTCTTTCCTTCTAGCCACTTGAATGAGATTTTATCAAGGTCATGTGTTAACGCCTCTCCTCTTGTTGGGTTTTTACAGAGAAGGAACACACCATGAGCATCCATGCCCATGGTCATGCCCATCCACACAAGAAGCACATGGACACTTGGCCACGTCCTTAGTGGGGACACATGCTATCCAACACATGACCGCCACAACCACCACTACAATCCTAACAACTGCTCTTGTGGTAAACATGGATTTCAACAATTCCAAATGGGTCAGTCTACTGACAGCATTAGGGAGCACTTATATTGTTAAGCTTTAAGTACATATTAACCTTACTTGAATGTACACAAAGTGTAAAGATACTTATTTTATTTTTTAAAATATTTTTTCCACAATTTTTTCTCTTTCTATTTTATTTTTTATTTTTTTGGGTATTTCTGTCAATGTCAGGTCAAACATACATGTGGCTCACAGGTATAAATGTCCCACATTTTAAATATATGGCCTGTAAAATTATTTTTCCTGTTATATTTTATTTTTTGGCCGGCAGAACTAAATCTTTTGTTAGTCATTGTAGGTTTTATGCTACTCACAAACAATGCCAAGCTCGACACTAACTTAGGTGTAGCTCTGTGCTTTCCATCAATAATACATGCATTAGAACATTACCCCACAGATACTTGCACACCCCTGAAAAGTTTGAGCCAGTTCTGTGGAGCAAGTGTGCTGTGTGTATTTGTGTATGTGTGAGGGTGTATGACAGCTTGTATACCTGATATGGAAAAAGAGAATATCTCAATCACCTTGGTCGAATATTATAATGTATTTCCATGCTGCCATTTTGAGGTAATCTTCTTAGTAGTCCATTGACACAGTTCTGAAACTGAAGACTGACACATAATGTCACTGCAAAGGATAAAGTTCACGCATATGATATTTATGATTGAGGGCATGTTATCTTCTATGACTATGATTAATAAAAAAGAGGAATTAGTAACTACAAAGACATAAGTACTATATTGCATTACAATTTTAATTTGGAATAGATAGAGTATTTAATTCAGTTTTTTATTTTTTGTTTTGTTTTTGTTTCTAATGTCCAGACATGCTGCTAAGTGTTACAGTGACAAAGATTGTAGACCATTTATAACTCAACACCAAACATAATTTTCTATCTTGCCCGAAAAATACCTGAATGGTAGGATCAGAACATTGGCCCACATTTTTTCAAATGCTGTGAATGAGTAGATAGTAGTTCTATGACCTATGAGTTAAAGTCTAGTGGTCTTTCTAACAATGAGTGTTGCACCTGGATAAACATTTATTATAACAGCACTTTCTAACATACTCCAAGTGCATTCCATGTCCTGATATCTCAAACTAACATGATTGTTATTAAATGTCTTTCATTTTTCCATAATCTTCCGGTCTTCTGACAGTAAACCCAATCTAGGTTTTGGACCCCTCAAAGAAAGTAGTTATAGCAAGTGAAATAAATGCTTTCATTCAACACTACATAATTCTAGTAGAAAGTATTGCTTTATGTGTATATTATATTTTGTTAAATTTATCACTGGTTGTTTCAATAATGGAGCAATCCATGGGAACACTATTTTTCCTTTTTGTTTTCCACATTGTACAGACTTATGGTTTTGATGGAGGTTAATTGCTTTTTAATTCTCATATCATTAAAATGCTAATGAATGTTTAGAACTGTTTGGTAGAGAACGTTTAGGACCTTGTTTGATATACACCCCTTTATGAGAGGTGATGAAAAGTCAATTATTGGATTATGTGTACATCTCGTGTACTCTTACATCAGATGTAATTCGCAGGTAACGTGTAGTGTGGTGTTTGGTTAGCAACTACTACAAAGGTAATAAATATTTCTGAAAACGTAGAAGTTTTCCTATTTTATCATTTTTCCCCTGAACTTCACACCATTACACTCTCCTCTAAGAGTTAATACATTTGAACACAGTTAAAACTAGACCTATTTCCACTATCATACTTGTTGGGTGTTTTCCTGAGCACTGGCGCTTTGTTTTGAGAAATATCGGATCCATAACTCATCCAACTAAGAAGCTGGAAAAGACGCGAAAGGAGAAGGAGAGGAGTCCCAGTGCCTCAAACACAGCTTCCCCTTCCCCTTCTCACTCCCACTCCCCCTCTTTTCCCCCGTTCTCCACACAGCCAGCGCCAGCCGGCGCCGAACCGTTTTGACCTTGAGCCGGTAGTTGAGGCTGGATTCGAGAGTCGAGTGTGCCACTAGGGACTACGGCCAATACACAACTGGTCGTCGTAGTGTCGTCAGGCAGGCGCGGCGCCAAGCGAAGCCCCAGGTAGAGTTTGAATCCAGACTCAACTTCACTTTCTTATCAGTTTGACAAGTGCCGGCGTTATATAACGCCTACGCCTCTGTTTTGCAGAGCCAAGCGCGACGAACTGCCGCATTCAACGGGCTTGCCCTAGAAGAAGGGCTCCCGTGTTCCTCTGTTGTCAGTTGGTTGAGGACCGGAGGACGTACCGGACAGTGCGAAGTGTCAACAACTTCTGGCTCACTTTCTGACAGCGAACGCAGTATGGCTAGCAACAAATCTGTGAGTTGTCATCGGAACTCTGTTCCAAGGGGAAACACTCTGGAAGCTCAAGTGTGATACAGTCCAACAGTTATAAGTGCAATACCATGCAGTTAAAACTGTAGTACACTGCACTTTTAAGTGTGATACATGTGTGACACTACACTTTTAATTCTGATACATTTGTTGTACTACAGTTTTTATTGTGATACATTTGTTGTTCTACAGTTTTTATTGTGATACTCATTTATATTGCACTTGTAACTGTTGGACTGTATCACACTTGAGTTCCCAGAGCAGGCTCGATTCTGTGTATATTTCTGTGTTGATTTTGGTAATATTTTGAGAATTTTGATTAAATTTCAAAATATCCAGAAGAATTTATTAAGGTTTGGTTGGTTTTGGTTTAGTTTTCAACCTGCATTTCAGTGCATTTTTACACATTTTGCTGATTATTTCAGTACACTCCTTTGAGAATTCTGAATGTAAGTGTGTATACATTTTCAGCTGGCTAATAAGTCATCTTTATCTATGGCAGGTTTTTAACTTATTGGGTGTAAGACCCATCATTTGTTTTGGGTCATCTGATTAGCGGAAGTCAGCTTGAAGCTGGCTTCAGTTCTTCAGTTCTCATTCAGCCAATCAGTTTACTCAAATCAAATGACGGGGTGGCTTCAGCTTCACTGGCTTCACCAAGACTAAATCAAACATTACATTGAGAAAAATGGTATCATGTATTCAACAATGGAAAACTTTTAGCTAAAATCAACATTTTGTGATGTTTTGCTTTTTTCCTGCGTTGTTTGTTGTCACATATTTTGTCATGTGTGTCAAAAATATCTTTTTTATTCATAAAAGTGCACAACGTTGCCTTTCTCTAGTAAGCTTTTTTCTCATTACGTGGGTGTATGTGATATTTATCATCATTGATAAGTTATCTGATAAGTTACACAAGTACGGCGGCACCTGACCCGCCCGGCGCCCGCCGCCGGCCGGCCGGCCGGCCCGCAGTCCTGTAGGACTCTAGCAGGAGAGATATGCCGTCCATCCAGCGCAACTGAAACACTTTTAGGGCGCCTTGCGTCAGCTTTAGTTTCCCACCAAGTCCACAAGCACTCTACTCACTGTACTTTAGCTTCAGCTAACGGAGGATGATTAGCGGTTACAGCAGATTCCTGGTTGTTGGAGCCTTTGCCCCCATTACGGGCACAGGGGCGTACCAAGATCCGACTGGGGGGAAAAAGAGGGGGGGGGCACCGTGGGTTGCCCACACTCAGGGGTGCTGTAGAGCAATTGCCTCTTCCAGGCTCCTCATTGTACAGACTGCAGAGGAGGCACCAGTGTCCCTGCTCCCTCCCCTCCTGAATCCGCCCCGAGTTTTCTTCGTGTGACCAATTTATTTCCACAGCGTTGGTGCCTGGCGCTGGCCGTCGTCGTCGCGCTGGTGCTCTGCCTCGGTGCGCCTGGCGTTGACTCCGCCCGCATCCTGGTGGTCATCGCCATGCCCGCTCCCAGCCACCTGATCGTGTTCACGGCTCTGACGCGCGCCCTCGCTGACCGGGGCCACCAAATCACCCTGGTGTGCCCGTCCCCGAAGACCGACAAGCTTCTACCCACACACAACCATCATATAGTGTCCGTTCAGAACTCCACCGTCATGGACTTCAAGCGTAAGTGCGCGACTCCTCGATGCTGGTCTGGCGCTATTGAGTAATCGATGGACCATTTAGATTTTGGTATTCATCCGTTTCCCCACAGTCAAGTCCGTCAAGAAGTTCATGACGGGCGACAAGCAGGACCTCATCTCGTCCATGATTTCGTTCTTTAACTGGGGCCCTCAGCTGGTCCGCGCCACCCTGCTGCACCCGAACTTTAAAGCTGAGGTGGACACACCCAACCAGAAGTTCGACCTGGTCATCACGGAGGCCTTCTTCATCCAGGAGGCCATGATAGCGCTCGGTCACAAGTTCAACGCCCCAGTTATCGCCCTCAATCCGTTCGGTGCGTCACCCCAGATCAACCAATTCATGGGCAACTCCATCAATCCCGCGTGGGTCCCTAATTTGTTCCTCGGTTTCGGTGGACATTTAACCTTCAGCGAGCGCGTCATCAACACTGTGTAAGTAACGCGTCGCCGAGGTCGCGCGCCGCGCTGCCGCGCTTCTCCTGACTGCTAAAGACTAATGACTCATCGTATTTGTGCCGCTTCCAGTGCGTCGACGGGCATGGACCTCGTGTACAAGTTCCTGCAGTTTCCTCAGCAGCAGGCGCTTGTCTCGGAGCTCTTCCCCAGCGCACCCCCTCTGACGGATTTGCTTCGCAACCAACTGGCTCTCGTCCTGGTCAACAACCACCACTCGCTGAGCTTCCCCGTGCCGATGTCGCCCGGCGTCGTGGAGGTTGGCGGGATGCACATCACCAAGAAGCCCAAGCCCCTGCCCAAGGACCTCAAGGACCTGATGGACGGCGCCAAGGACGGCGTCGTGTACTTCAGCATGGGCTCCAACTTGGCGATGGAGTACATGCCCAAGCAGAAGACGGAGGCCATCTTCGGCGCGCTGGGCTCTATCAAGCAGCGCGTGCTTTTGAAGTGGGACGGCCCCGTCCCGGACACGGGCGTGCCCTCCAACATCCACATCATCAAGTGGGCGCCTCAGTCCGACGTATTAGGTGAGCCTCGTTAGAGGGCTGCTGATGTCACTTGTCACTGTTGTGTCCCGAGTCTGGCTCAAACACACACTCCTTCCCTGTTGCAGCACACCCCAACCTGCGCGTGTTCGTGACCCACGGTGGGCTGCTCAGCACCCAGGAGGCCGTGTACCACGGCGTGCCCCTCGTCGGGATCCCCGTGTTCGCCGACCAGGACTTCAACATGCGGCTGGCCACCAGGAAGGGCTTCTGCGAGCAGGTCGACTTCGCCACCTTGACGCAGGAGGGGCTGAGCAGCGCTCTGCAGAAGGTGCTCGGCAGCCCCAGGTGAGTCGAGTCGTCGTGAGGTCGCCCGGCCGGGCGCTCCCCTCTGCTCTGTCTAACGTCGCGCTTTTCCTGCCCAGCTACAAGGAGGCCGCGTCCCTGTTGTCGCGCCTGTTCCGGTCCAAGCCCACCGAGCCCGCGGACCTGGCCGTGTTCTGGGTGGAGCACGTCCTGGAGCACGGCGGCGCACACCTGCGGCCCTCCAACGTGGACCTGTCGCTATACCAGCTGCTGCTCGTCGACGTGATCCTGGCCCTGCTGGTGCCACTCGTCCTCGCCATCCTCATTCTGCGCGCCATATTCAGGTGGTGCTGCTGTCGCTCAAAGAAGGGTTCGAGTGCGAGCGGACAGCCATCCAAGGCAGCAAAGGCCAAGAAAACCAACTAGTCTGTACGGCATTGCCGGCGTCCCTGATCTGTTTTAAGTTAAGTTTTTCTACTCAATTGTTATATTTGTTGTTTTTTTTCATAAAATACAGTATTACAATTTTTACACCTGTATCTGAATTTTCTTTATCCCTTATCACCTCTTCGATAGTATATTTTCTGGGCCAATAATTCTCAACTGATGTTAGCTAACACCTGTTTTTGTTTTTCCACCTGATTGAATTGGCATGGGATAAATAAAATAGTCTATTCAAAATTTCCTCCTTCTGGGTGTTTCCTTTTATTAATAAAACTTAGTAACAATAAAACACAAACATTAAACACATTTAGCACTCACATATTTTTTTAAGCAATCCAGTTATACTAGCTACTTCAAATTCCTGGGGATTTCACTCTACCTCCTGAGAGTAATGTAATGAATGCACTGTAAATAGACAGAAATTCTCAGAGAATTAATCGTAAAATGTGCCAATACAAAAAGTTCCTAGATTTTCCAATGTGGATTGTTGTCGTTTTGAAATTGAATTGTATCATACTGACCCACCACTCCACATTGGAAATCAGGTTCAGAAATTTTTGGCTGAAGTACTAAGCAAGCCCTCATGACAATAACATTACACATACAAATATATCAAAGTTTTTAAAACCATTGTTACAATGAAGTTTTGGAAAATCTCAACCAACTTTAACAGTGTAATGTGCATAAAAATCCCATGCACACAGCGTGCAGCCAATTTTGCTTCAAAATGCTGGTGCTAGGCACACTTTGTTGTTCTAGCAAGAGTAAGTAAGTTATAAGTTGTGGGAAGGTTTAGGGAATTTCTTTGAAGAGAGTTTTGGTCCCATTATCATTTGAAAAGTGGCGTAGGTGTTATCTTATACTACACTAAATCTTGGCAAACATTAAATTATCAACATTATAATATATATCCAGTCTACCTATCACACTCACTCAGTCACTTAAGTTCAACAGACGTTGAAACAAGGCAAAATAGAACAAAATAGAAAATTTGATGTATTACACCAGTGCCATCAATGATGGGCTGAAGACCACAGAAAAACAGAACACATACAAAGAGAAGTCAACAGATAAATGTCAAAAACAGTACGCTTATAAAAACATGACACATATGAAAAAGAATCATACACCAGTTAGTGAATGGAAGGGGATGGAAAACATAGAATAGAAATAGGGCACAATAGAAGTGGAAAATCAATCAATAAAATCTCAATATTATTTTCCTTAAATAAAACATTCATCTTCATTGGACTTCCTTCCCCATCTCGTTGTGGTCGACGTTAATCCCTTTCAATGCTGCCATGCCTGATTCACCCCGGGCAGCTGGTTTCCATTTCTCCTGAGAGAAAAGAAGGCGCCGTTAGCGTTGTCGCTTCAGACCGACGCTTTGCGTTCTGTTTCCGGTGGGTGGAGGAGGGGTTGCTTACCTGTAGTTGTAGCCCTGCCCCAGGACCTGCCCAAGCGTCGCCGCGTCCAGCTTGGCGGCCTGCTCGTCCGGCCGCCCGATGACGGCGAGCCTCCCCTGCTGCTGGCCCCCGAGACCCCCACCTTTGCCGACCCGCGGCGCGTTGGGCAGCGGCCCGCCGGCCAGGTCCGTGACGCGGGGGTTGCGCTTGTACTTGTACCAGTAGTACTCGAAGGCGAGCGTGACGCACGCCAGCCCGATGCCCACGAAGATCACGATGAAGACGCCGCCTGCGAGGGTGCACGAAGAAGCGTGAGCAGTCAGCACTAGGGCACCATTCGCCGAGCACTAACTCGGATTCTATCATACGACGTCCACCGACCTATGTTCTGAATGGAGATGCCGTCCTGCTGGTCGTCCTGCTTGTCGCACTTCTTGATCTCCGGATTGAGCGACCACCAGCGCTCCTTGAGTTTCTCCAACTTTCGCTTGTTGAGTAGCTGCAGGATGGCGTTGTTGAACTGGTCTTTGAGCGGTGAACCCTGCTGCACGGCGATGGCGTACGGCTTCCGGGAAAACTCCTCGCCTACCTGCGAAGCGTGCGTCAAGTAATCAGTAATGGATAAATCGATAAGATTATTCGCGCTGGTTCGAGACGCGTGTGTGGGCGTACCATCTGAAGGTCGCAACTTGTCTGGGAGAGCCACCTTATGTCGGTCGCGTCACCGAGGTACGCAAAGCCGTCGCTACTGCTCACGGACGAGCGCACTCGTTTCACGGCCGCGTCCAGGTCTTCGGGCATCTTGGCGTCGAGCATGGCCTGCCACATCTTGGTGTACTTGTCGCCCACCGGGTAGTCCCACACGGCCAGCTTGGCGCGCTCCACCTCGCTCAGGGAGTCGTTGAGCGACATGTCCTTCCAGATCCTGAACAGGGGAGGAGGCGCGCAGTGAGAACAGGGTCATCACAAAGGGAGAAAGGAGCGGGGCAAGCGGCACGCCGAAAGTACGGTGGGGGGG